GTTGCTTCTATCTTATGTACAGCGCTTGCTGTGTGGCATTGCCCCTATCCTGTTTACAGCGCTTGCTGTGTGGCGTTGCTTCTATCTTATGTACAGCGCTTGCTGTGTGGCATTGCCCCTATCCTGTTTACTGTGTGGTGTTGCCGCTATCTTATGTACAGCGCTTGCTGTGTGGCATTGCCCCTACATCCTGTTTACAGCGCTTGCTGTGTGGTGTTGCTTCTATCTTATGTACAGCGGTTGCTGTGTGGCATTGCCCCTATCCTGTTTACAGCGCTTGCTGTGTGGTGTTGCTTCTATCTTATGTACAGCACTTGCTGTGTGGCTTTGCACCTATCCTGTTTACAGCGCTTGCTGCGTGGCGTTGCTTCTATCTTATGTACAGCGCTTGCTGTGTGGCATTGCACCTATCCTGTTTACCGCGCTTGCTGTGTGGCTTTGCTTCTATCTTATGTGCAGCAGTTGCTGTGTAGCATTGCCCATAGCCTGTTTACAGCACTTGCCACGTAGTGTTGCGTCTATCTTACGTACTGCGCTAGCTCTGTGGCATTGCTTGTTGACAGCGCTTGCTGCGTGGCTTTGTGTCTATTGTATGCACAGCTGTTGCTGTGTGGCATTGCCCCTATCCTGTACACAGCGTTTGGCTGTGTGACTGTGTGACATTGCCGCTGTCCTGTTTACAGCGCTTGCTGTGTGGTTTTGCTCTTATCTTACGTACAGTTTACAGCGCTTGCTGTGCGGTGTTGCTTCTATCTTATGTACAACGGTTGCTGTGTGGCATTGCCCCTATCCTGCTTACAGCGCTTGCTGTGTGGCATTGCCCCTATCTTGTTTACAGCGCTTGCTGTGGTGTTGCTTCTAGCTTACATACAGCGTTTGCTGTGTGGCATTGCCCCTATCCTCTTTACAGCGCTTGCTGTGGGTGTTGCGTCTATCCTATGTGCAGCTCTTGCTGTGTGGCATTGCCCTTATCATGTTCACAGCGCTTGCTGTGTGACATTGCCCGTATATCCTGTTCAAAGCGCTTGCTGTGCGCTCCAGGAGTTTGGTAGCATGCCGAGATCGATGTTCACCTTGTTCCGATGTTTCGGACCTGATGGCTGCGCAGCCTATGAAGCCCCAGCTGCACCTAGCACGGGTCTTCCCAGTGCGAGAGAGGGATGAGATGAGATGAGGACGGCACCCCACTGCCAGAGCGCCTGCGGCTCGAATTGGGTATGCCGTTCTTCGTGCTCTACATTCTCACGACGATGATGCTTGGCGCTGACTTTGGACTTTGGGGTTGCTGAGAGATGTTGAGACCCCTTTCGTGTTCTTCTTCGCTTGCCTGGCAAGGACCGTGGGAGTCTTGCGCCCAGCGGAGAGGACTTGAGAAGTTGAGGAGTGCAGAGAGAGGTGGCAGAGGCAGCAGGTGCGTTAGACGAAGAGATGGACGATGTTCTTTGTTTCTTTTTGGTCCAATTTCGGGGACGACTTTCGGGCTTTTTTCCTGCTGCTCCCAGGTGGGCCTCTTCAATCTGATCATGGCTCCTTGGCGCAAAGGACGTGGCTTCGTGTGCCGCACACGATTGGGCTTTTCAGCCGAGGCGGTGTTTCTGGACAATGCGCCTTGGTGCATCGGGTTTGTTTTGAGTAGCAGGAGCAGTGAGACTGTGTGCAAGATGGTGTATGCAACTCTTCTGTCGCGCTGCAGGCTTGCCACCGCAAATGCTTTCTGCTTCGACTTCTGCTCTAGCCAACTCTAGCTCTAGCCGCTGGCCGCCCTAGCCGCCAAGCGTGGGACAGCCTCATGCAAGCATCCAAACGAATCCATATGTTCTTCTTGTTCTTGTTCTGCTCTTTCGTGGTGTTGATGGTGGTGGTGCTGCTGCTTTTGTCGGTGATCAATGTTCCGACTCGCAGAGATTTCTCACATGCCTTTTCATCGATCAGGCGGACCTTGTGTAGGTATGGTTCCTACCTTGCTCCATCTCCATCCTGAGCAGCAGTATCGATATCGTCACCTTGGCCATCCCGGCAGCGATGTTTGGGTCTTGTCCTGGCTTCGTCTCTCGACTTGGGCTGTCCCAAGGTGTTGAAGTCGCAAGGGCAACGCAAGATGCGGGAGATCGGTGACGTGGCAAAAGGGGTCGAAGAACTCTCACCACCGATTTGGGACCGGCCGCTCTGTCCGCGAGTCTGAAGTTTCGGAGCATCAACAACCACAGTGTTGCGTAAGGCAAGAGTCTGACTAGCAGACTTCGGCAATACTGGTACTTCCGATTCAGGACGATCCCTTGAACCATGTTGATGGGGCGCTGCCTGCTGTGTGATCCCTGTTAAGGCGACTCTTCAGCGGCTGTGTGCACAGACCTGCAGCTCCACATTCGGCGGTGCCTTGTTGAAGTTTCAACAGCTTCATGCGTGTCGCACCGACTACAGGCACTTGCAGCATGATTGAGGTTTATAGTGCAATCGCGGGGACGAATGTTCGCCATGCACGCGCGCGGCAGTGAAGAACCTGTGGTACGGCTGCAAGGTTCTTGTGCGAGCCTGCCTCCGAGACTGAGCGGGGTCTCTTTGATCGCTTATCCGAGTCTGCACAGCAGTCACTTGGCATGGGCGGGACATAGCGGGACTATCTGTGACTATCCAACTCGAGAGGGAGACCGTTTGTATTTGCAGCTCAGAGGGCTCTCAATGCAGCCAGTACGATAACTTGCAGAACCTATGCAATCATGGCAAAGCACCGTGGGCATGGCAAGGAGAGGCGTGAGCAATCCCTGCAACAGTCGGTAAGGGCTTTCATGGTGACCGAAGCTAGTAGAAGTCCCTAAAGAAAGACAAGCGGTGGCAAAAGGCAGATGGAATCATGCACGTATCAGGACCTTCTGAGTCGCACCCAGTGCCCGTCGCTGAAACCCAAGAAAGCACAAGACGAAGGAAGTGTTTGCTTGTTTGGCTGTTTGTTCCAAGGAAGCTCGCGCATGTCACTGAAGAGGGCTACTACCGAGATCAGGCCTCAGATGGCATGTCAGACGGTCGGGTGGCCGAAGATCAGGGTGAAATGTTATGGCATCTGACTTGGGCTATGCTTCGTGGGGGCAGGCGACCAAGAAAAAAATCGCGGAAGCCACGTACCAGATCTTGCAGGAAGATCAGGCGAGGAATGCGAGAGTTGGAACAGCTCCAGGGAGTAAGTGTGGACAAATCGAAGCTTTCAGCATGGCATTCGCCTTGTCCAGGTCAGCATCTCGAAAGACATGTACCGTGCTTGCAGATAAAGTTGAGGGGTATCCTCTTTCAACCCTAAACCCGTGGCCATGTGGCTCACGTCAAGACCCAAAGAAAAGCTTTCAGGATGTCTGCATCACGTCCTGGCTATGGCTATGGACTTCCGGTCCAGGCTACAGCACGCGCATGACATCGTGCAAGACTCTGCTATGCAGATGCGAGCGACTATGGACATAGCTGGCATGATTTGGTGGAGCATCTCGAAGCACTTCCGGGAAGAATCGCCGCCAGCAAACGTTGCTGCGCTCCTTAAGCCACTGTCAGCATAGTTTTAACAACAATCCCCGCCTCTCCCACGGCCGTGTATTGACAGTGGCGAGTTGCAGCAGGAGGCGGAGGACCCCTGGTGATGAAAGGGAAGCTTTCTCATGA